AGTTTGTTTTTCTTTTTTCCTTTTCTTTCAATTTCTAAGTTCAAAAGATTAAATACATAAAATAGTTAGCATGTGAGGAGAAAACCAATGAAGTTGAAAGTGCAGTCAGATTTTCTAATGCAGATTGTTCTGCCAACTCTTTTGTGACATGTTTTGGTCGCTCCATTTTATCTTACACTTTCTGCTGTTAAACTTACTTTAATAAGAATAATTGGAATCATATGTATATATATATATATATAGTTTATGTTAATAGATATTGGGCTTAAAGAATGGACTCTGTGCCCAAACCCACAATGCAAGGGAGATCAAAACTGCGAAATTTCATTAAACTCTTGCAAAAACAATGGTACAGTGTGAGCATGTTGTTCTGTTCGTGCACCATTTTTATCTAAAATACAAATATCTCGTCTTCTCCAAAATTCTTACTCGAACGGCTGATTACAAAACCCTAAATAGGGTTTACTCTCATGCGATGGTTTTTTCTCCGGATTTGTTACAGTCTAGATAACGTTAGAATATTTAACAAGCAAAAAAAAAAAAAATGATGTAAAAGTATGCATATGTTTATATTGGACATGTTTATATTTAAAAATCGTATACACATATGCATACTTAATACAGTTTTTAGAGAATAATATTACGCTGTAGAATTGACTTATATGTAATTTATTCATTTTTGTTGGTTATATATGTATATATATATATATATGCAATTTGAGTTCTTGATCAATTACATAAAAATACAAAAGTAATGAAAGATTTGGTGGAGAAATAGGGTTTAGGTCTCTGTCAGTATTACCTTTTAAGAATGTATAGATATACCATCAGCTGTTTGGCACACAGGTTGATATATGGAAGAGAATAGTAACTCTTTTTGGTATTTTTCATGTCAATAATTGAAGAAAATGACTACACAAAATTAATGAATGAAATTGACATCAGATTCCCAAAGGAAAACTTCCAAAATGCAGTTCAGAAAAAAAGCATATAGGCATATACATACATACATATATATATATAAATGACTTTACACTTACATTTGTATATTTGCAGAGAAAAACCTGTGTAAAAACATGAACAACCTGGAGGCACTATAAAAAAGGAGAGAGATTACAAGAGGGAAAATTTTATATGACAATTTTTCAAAGAGTTGAGAAAATAGAGTAGTATCTATATTATAAAGAAAATAAGAGAGAAGATGAAGATAATGGGATCCATGGAGAGCCAACGAGCATGTATCTATATACATATACATGTATATATATGTATGTATACATGTATGTATAGGTTTATAAGAGGGGATAAGATGATGGATCAGAATGGCAGGTCATCAGCAGGTGGGACCGAAGCAGCAGAGCCATATTTGGTAAGCGTGAGTAGAGGGGGGATAAAAGAGAAGCAAGCAAGGAGTTGTTCAATGAGACAGAAACAAAGAGATGATGAATTTAATGCCAATAATAATTCAAATAAATAATTCAAAAAGGCACCTACATACGACATACATATACATATACATATACATATACATATACATATACATATACATATACACATATGCATACATAATGTAGCAAAGTGAGGCCATTAGAAGTGAGGAAGAGAAGGTAATCATATTACCCACATTGTCTTCTATTAAAGACAAATTTGTTTGGAGGTACATGACAAGCTTTGATTTTGATTTGTCATTGTCTTTCCATTTTTTTAAAAACCCAATTTTTGGGGAAGGTTTTTTGAATTCTTTGAAGATAATTAAGAATGGATTTAAATAATATACACCATTAAAAGGGCATATTTAACCTTTTAGCAAGTTATAATTCAAAAAAAAAAAAAACAATCATCCATTCCGTTAATTAAATAATACGTATATATGGATAAAAATACAACATTACGACATACAATATTATTGTCTAATAACAACACAGAAAACGTAAAAAAAAAAAATATGATTGAAATTTACGTTATGATTAAAAAGAGTTGGAAGTATTCAATACGTTTGATGTTGTGTTGACATAAATAATAATAAAATATTTTAAAAAAAACACGCATAATATATATCCTATTAATGAAAATACACAAAAAAGTACAATTCATCGTTTAATGTATACCCAGATACAAAATGTTCGAAACACCTACCGAATAGTCAAGGCATGATTGGTGAATTACAAAAAAAAAGGGTAGAAGTATGGGTAACATTGAATTATGGGTAATACAATATTTTAATGAGAATACAAGTATCCAAGATTACACACTAAATGCACAAAGTGTTCAGAACATAGATTGTATAGTCAAGGCATAGTGGGTGAATTAAAAAAAAAAAAGGTAGAAGAAGAAATGGAATTATGGGTAATGTTTAGTTAAGTGGTTGAATTGGGGGGAGAATATTCTGGGAGAAATATCTTTTTTTTTTTTGTGGGGGGAGAGAGAAAAAAAAGGTAGAGAGGAAACTCATAATGAAGCGGCGTGTGATACGGATTCGTTGGGTGCTAGTGGACACAAGTCTACAACCAAATGAACCTCAAGAATCTGATAGTGATTCTACATAAAATCTCTGAAGATGAGTGATGGAATTTTAGCATCCCAATGTCATTTCCATAATCACTACAAAACTGAAAACACTCCTTTCCTCTGCAATTTTCTCCTCAATTGCTTTCTTTTCCTCCTTCAAAAAAGTGGATGCCTTCTCTTTCTTTTTTGTTTATATCCCAACAACAACAACAACAACATTGGAACAGCCACCCCTTTTCCTCTTATCATCTCTCCTCTCCTCTCCTCTCCTCTCCTTTTTAAGTAAGCCTCAACCCACATACTGTTTGCTGCTATAATATTATATAAGCAAGGTCTAGGATCTTTTGGGTTTGTGTTTGTAAGGTAAGTTAGATGGGTGTGATGGGGAAGAAATTGGAGCGGGTAAGCAGTTATGGGAAGAAACAATGCAGGAATCTGTTTTGGAGAGTGAGAGCAGCAGTGAAGAAGACGGTGAAGAAACAAAAGCATTTCAAGTTCCAGTATGATCCTTCCAGTTATGCTCTCAATTTTGACGATGGCAATTCTTCCCATCATCATCACTATTCAGATTCCAAATATGTCATCTGGGTTTATGTTCTTTGGGTCAAATCTTGACTCTTTTTTCTCTTTCTTTTTTTGGGTTTTTGGCATTCTGTTCATTATTAACATGATCGGTCGGTTGTACTTGTAACAGGCTTTGGCTTGTGATTAGGGTTTAAGAATTGGGGTTCTTCAATGAAATGATTTTATTTGGTTTTGTTTATTCATCCATTGTTTCCATTATTTTCTGACCAACCAATCTGGTCATCTTCTGCCATTTCCATACCATAAAGAAGGATTGATTCCAATGTCAGCATTCCCTGCTGAAACAGTTAGCTTAGCTACCTCGTGCATTGTCTTCTGCCCTGCCAGAAGCTTGAGACTTAAGGAGGTCGTTTCTTACTAGCTGAAAATATCAGCATTTACATTTTTTATAAAAAAAATTAATAAATTTTTTAATTTACCAGTTTACTCTCTTTCTGGTTTTAATTTAATTTTTTTGAGGCTGCTAACTTTTGATTTTTTATATTAAGGAAATTAGCCCAAATTTATTTGTTTATGTTTTTACTTAGAGGGAAAGTCTTTTTTTCCTAATCTTTCAAAAGTCATACAACAAGTGACTTATTTATCAAAAAAAAATCTAATTATATATTTCAAAATTTTGCAAATTCAGATACAATTGTGCCTTAAATCAGAAACTACCATGTGATTTATATGTAGAACAGAGTTTTGCAAGAGTATATACATCCATCAAAAAGAAAAGAAGAACAGCCATGTTTTTCCCATGGCTTTTCTCTTTTGTTTAATCAAGAAAACAATTTTGTTGTATCATCATGACTTGTTAACAGCAAGTAGATTACAGCAATTCAATTTAACACCAATTGATTTGTAGGCTGGAGCTTCAATTCAAGGGGGTCACAGTTTAGATGGAATTCCCACAAAGATTGGTAATTGTATTGACAATCAAATTATTATACACCCACAAGCCCATTCCCACATTCTAAGAAGAAGAAGATCAACCAAATCTTGATTAAAAAGAAAAATAAAAACATTCAAGAAAATGCCTAGCTAGTCACTGATATAAGGATACAATCCAAACTTTCCTATTTGGTTCCATGCATTCAATCTAGAGCCACTTGAATTCCCCAAAACAAAGGTACAAGATTGAATCAAACTGCAGGGTCTTCAAGTGTGGCAGTAGATAAATCTTTTATCCTAGGATAAGCAGCTTTCTCATCTAGTTGGGTCTGAGCCCATACCAGCATCTTTAACAAGCTTGGAAAGTTTTGGATCTGGTGTCCACAAAACATTAAAACATTTATTCCCAAATCATAGGAGAATTATCAATCTTCAAGGTACATATATTATATATATATAAAACATACGAAGCTCATAACTGGCTTGACATGTATAACATGTATTTCCCTTCTGGATTTTCAACAGCATTAAATGAGCAATAAAGCTTTGACCAACAAATGTTGATTAAAAAAGTTTTTGACCAAATGAATTGGCTTAATGGCGGAAGTTGAGAAATGACATGTTCTATGAAATTTATCTGCTGTCCAAATTCATAATAATCCAATATGCCTGCATAGTCGGCAACCAATAGACTTGAACAGCAGTAACTAGCATTTTTTTTCACTTCGTTTGGTTTTAAAAAAAGCATTAAGCAAAGTAGACCATTACAACCATTAGTGCACACATGAATAGGCACATGTCCGCTTGCATGTGCCACAAAGAACATTAAAATAACAGAGTAGCAAGTTAATAACAATATCACGTAATTGACATGGCAAAGAAATTCAGACCACAAAGCAATGTGCAAAGCTTTGGTAGACAGCAATGACCAACCTTTTTCATGACTCTGGCTTGTGAGAATAGCTGCATTCACCTCACTTGCCGTTTTCAAACGCTGTGATATGTCCAGAAGCTCTCCAACTGGGCAGTTGGAAACATCCTCAAAAGCCAGCAATGCAACAGTTCTCTCCAGCTCTTCTAAAAAGCTTTGCTGCAAAAAGATCCCAATTTTCTTAAAACCTAAGTACCATAACTAACTGCAGGAACAATTTATCAGAAAAATATATAACTTTTATGCTTGACGTGGTCATTTGGACAGATTTTATAGAACCCATCCTTGGGAATCATGCTAAATAGGGCAGTCACTGACGAAAAGAGAACAAAACCTGAAATTTTTCCAAAGGAAAAAAAAAACCAATGCACAAAATAAGTAGATCTAGAAAAGTGAAGTAAGCCAATATCTACATTTTCTTCTCCCCTTGGGGCAAGCTCCTCCTGAGCAAACTCCAAAGCCTCCTCTACTTTTCCATTCCGAATTAGTTCTATCAACCTCTGCTGTTGAAGATGGAAAAACAGTTGGGGATTTGTGTCCAGTATCTGCAAACAGCGTTTTCAAATAACAAAGATTTAGGATCAGAATGAAGATGACTTATTCAGGCAGCCACAGAATTCTACTAAAGAAAAGAATTTTGTATATGGGGAGAAAACTAGAAAAAAAACACGAGTTCTATCTATCCTTTTTTATTGCATGTATCCCACATTGATACAGAAACACTTCTCAGAAATGAAAAAACAAAATTCAAAATGTTCCTCAATTCTAAGTATTTTATTAATGAGAATTCTGCGTTGTCATGGAGAGCAAGAATAAGACTTCTATCAAGTGGCGGTTAGTCCCTCCTAGAAAGCCTCCAATTCTCAAATTCCATCCTCAAGCACCTGACCAATTGGACAATCGCAAGTCTCTCCTTTC